AAATTGTAGTCAATGGAAATCAGTATCAGTGCGCCAGTGTTTCAGTATGCGTCAGTGCAACAAGTGTGCTCAGTGTCAGTTTGTCGCTGCAGACAGTGCGCTTAGTGTTAGTGCTTCACTGCAGACAGTGCGCTTAGTGTCAGTGAGTCACTGCAAACAGTGCGCGCAGTGTAAGTGTCATCAGCGTACCAGTGAGCGCCAGTGCGGTTTTATCGGTGGTCAGTATACTGAAACTGCACATCCCTAGGTATCTATGAAACTTTCTCTACGTAATAAAATATTTAAATATTATATAACCAAAGATAGATGTAGTAAAAGAGAAGGCTCATACACACGCGTCTACTCCTTTACTGTATCAGTCAGATTCGCAAATCTGTTCATTCGCTATCAGTATTCTATGTCAATACCTATCTCATATTTTATTAGATAGTAGGAAATCATTATTTGACTTATAGAAAAAGTATCCAATTGAAATTATTTATGGACACACTTATTTGATAAAAAAATTATTGAATATATGAATATATTAATGCTTTATGGTTGAATATGATAACTTCACTTGATTCTTGACTTGAGCATTAGTCAAAATTTTTGTTTGATGCACTACAAAATATTGCTAATTTAAGATTATCTGAAGATATTTCATATTTATGTTCAAAGTACAACTATTGTCACACTATTAAGTTTATCCGAGTGAAAACTAGATCAAGTTAAATAATGAGTAAATGCCATAAAACAACAAGCTCTTATATTTATACGAATACAGAAAGTGTTCATCATTGAAACATCTTGCAGTAGCAATAAATCAAACGAATTTCTTGAACATTGAAATTTCATTTTATAGATGCTTAACTTTTACGTTCATGATAAACAGAGGAGTAGTTTCAAGAACAATGGATAGATTTTTTCCAAATTAAGTGATGTAATTCTTTTTTGTCAAATGAACAAATTTACATGATAGGTATTCGAATAAGTGATCATTTTTTTGACGAACTAGAAACTTGAGACAAAAATATGTTTATCTCTTCTTCGTTTTTGACACTCTAATGTCTCGATGATCAATACAATCGAATATATTTCAAATAAAAAAAAATAGCACATCTTCACACATTTATGAGAAACAGAGAAAATGTTCAATCATAGTTATCTTCTGGAAATCGTAGGTATACATGTCACTTACTTCTTTCAATCTTTCTTCTCTGGAGTTTGTTTATCATGATTATATTCTTGTTTTCTTGCATCATATTCATTTCTTGCCTGAGTTTCTTGAGCAGATAAAATCGAATATAGTGTATTCTGTTGAAATACCCTTTGAGCTCGTTCTCGTGTGTGAGGATTATTGCTACATAACTCATCGACTAAAACAGTTCTCCATGACCAATTTGGAGGTACTTGTGAACCGGCTTCACCTGGACGAGGTGGAACAGGTTCGAGGTTTAAATCGGTCGTCGAATGATCTGAGCATGTACAATTACGATCAGCACTAACCGATTGCAATTCATTGAAGATTATAACACCAAGAAATGAAAAGTATAAAAAAGAAGAAGAAGAGAACATCGGTCGATTGACAATATAAAAGACAGTATAAATTAATAAAAAAAAAAGAAGAAATGTGAGAGAGCGCAATTTTCAAGCGAACTTAGTAACGTTTTCTCATTCAATTTTTCAGGTTTAGATAACGAATTGTTTTATTTTGAATATGCTTACACATTTGTCCATAAATAAAATATTATCTACAGTCCCATCAATGAACATCAACTTTAAAGGAATCTCAATCAAGTATTTGCTCAAAATTTTGTTTCATAACATGAAATTTTTGATAAATTAGTAGGCTTTACTATCGTAGATTTCCATAATACTATTTATGAATTGTTCTTTCGGAACGATTCAATATTTGAATATTTGAATCGATTTACTATTCGTACATAAAATATGAAAAAAACATTATTTTTCTGACAATAGAAATTAGCTTAATTGAGATTCCATAACGTGATCTTTCTCATCAAAATAATCAAGAGAGAAAAAAACTGTCACAAGTAATGTATTTTGTCAAGTTTTGTACAGAATTTCATGGTACATCTTTTGAAAAAATAACTCGGTCTAAAGCTGGAGAAGAAACACGGTCATAGTCAAAATGATGATGAGATCTCTATTTATAGATCATCCTGTATTAGCCGATAATTCGTAATAATAATTATTATTTTAAATAGTAGTGTAGAGGTGAGAATGGCTGAAAAATTCATTCACCCACCTCGCACTCAAACCTGGAAAAAGCCTAACAATTGTTCGACAAAGTATTAGCAAGGATCATGCTTCTTAGAAATCATCATGAAAATTACTTTGAACATTTAATGAAATAAAATTAGAAGTATCTCTTAATTCTATATAACCTCTTAAATGTTATCAGAATTTTTGTTTATCTCTAGATAATATTTACGAGTCGAATGATAAAAAAGAAAGAAAGAAAAGATCTCTATTCTCTAAATTATTTTATTACAATAGATGGATACATAGTCAAATATACATATGTATTGTATCTTTAAATTATCATAAATATTCGGTTCTATAAGAGACAGTAACGTCCACTAGAGTGTTCATTAACCGTTACTAGTGCTTTCATTAGTTCGGAAATCGAAAGTGAAAAAGAGAAACTAGTGGCATATGAAGAATAGAAATGAAAAAACGATAAAGTTCTAGATGAGAAGATCCTAATAGTACTTTATTCTCAATGCATAGTATATTCTTTCACTTATTAAACGATATAAAAATATTTCGTTTGGAAGACAAAAATGTGTAGGTTGTATACATAAAATAAAACAAAAAAAAATTCAATCATCGAAAAGTTTATGTTTAATATTATTTCCATTGTTGACTTTCTTCTAGGAGGAACAGGACGAATGGAAATCTTTTTCGCAGAACGTTAATGAGTTCAGATCAGCATCTGTCTTGCTAAACATCACAAGTTGATGTTGATATAAAAGCGCCAACCATAAATAATATTCTGGATGCTTTACAATGCCTTAGTCAAAGTAGCATAATGATGAATCACAGTCAACAATTAGACAAATGTTTGAATATTAAAGAAGAGAAAAGTCAAAACGAAATTGATGATGATTGTGGAAATATGCTGATATTGAATGTTCAGATCGTTGAAATAGACAGTTTTATGTAAGTCTTTTCTTATGAATGAAGGAAATAACTTTATAATGATAATAAAGAAATAGATAATAAATTAATGAAATAGTTTGAAGATATTGTTAATGGTCAACAATTCAAGAATCAAATTAAGATTGGTTTATTTTATTCTCAAACGGTGTAGAAACATTTGCGAAAAACTTCTTCCATCAAGTCTTGATTTTCAGATCAACTTTTAGTTATTGTTATACTAATCGATAGACTTCAAGCAAATTGATTAAGTTGTATTAGTTAGATATTCGTTGTGAATATAATGAATAAGGTTTAAGAAGAAATAATTATTTATTGAAAGTTGTTCTGTATAAATCATATTGAAGAAATTCTTAACAGTAATGAAATTGATTCGTCTTTTTTTAATCAAACCAAATCCAATCGAAAAAGTGTTATACTGAATCGAGTCAAACTGAATTTAATCAATTCTTAAGTGATATAATGGTTAAAGCTGTAGCTCTTCTCTTTGTAAGTCAATATATAGTATTCTAGAAGTTTGTATTAATGAAAATCAATCTTTTCAATGTAATATATGAGCAAAAGGAGTTGATAGTAATTGCCAACTAAATAAGATGAAGTTGTATGAAATTTGCCGAACTAATACAAAAAAAAACGAAATCTCCCTATGATTTATCTTTATATATTGTTGATAGAGTATATTTTTTTATTTCGTTTTAAACATCACATTCTGATGAAAATAAATCTGGTAATACTGATTTATTTAAAAGGTAAACCAGCCCAGATAGTACCTGATGGTTTTGCATCTCTTTTAAAATCTACGCATTTACCGTCACCAAGGCCTGTAAAACCACCAAAAGGAGCACAAATATAATTGCAGTCTTCGTCGAAAAGAGAAATCATTTGATTATACGTGAAGGCAGGTATCACAAGATAGGTCTTTCTGCCGTGATACAAATATATATTGATTTGAGTATAAGCATCCAATGCCGGTGGTCCTTCAATGGGTCGAAACTTTCCTTGAAAGCATGCCGGTAGCTCAGATTTAACCGATGAGAATGATAAAAGAGCAGTAATTAAGATAGTAAGACCAACAGTGGACACATTCATATTTTTATTCACCAATCTACGGTTTTAAAAAGTGAGAAAAAAAATTATTACTGTATTTCATTAAATGGAAGCATTCTAATATATCCTACTTGTTCTCTCAAATGTCACCTGTATAAGAGTCACATGAGGAGGCGACAGCTTTATGTATATTTGTACTATGATTCATGTTGGTTGTTATAGGTGTCAAAGCATACTTTCCAAAATAAACTATGTGGTATCATTGTTTTTGCTGATGTCATGTATCAAGCATTGAATGAAACGATAATTATTTCATTCAGCTTCTAATAGACATACGTGCACATCTTTAATGCTGTATAAGTAAATCTGGAAAATTTCGGTCAGTTTTATCGGGATTTGTTTTTGTTACAATCTTTGCCGTATTTTGATGTGGTTATGGTTGTGAAGCTTTTTATCAAGTCCAACTTGCTTTTAACATTAAGTAGTTTTATCGCATGATAACAGGACACAGATCAATATTTTACTTCAACTTGCAGATAAGATGTGGATGTAGAAGAGATAGAATACTGTTTGTTTGCTTTATCCTACTATCAATTGTTAAATGTTGGAAAGAAAATAAAGAAAAAAAAACAAACATTCAAGTTTTGGAGAAGCATTTTGTAACGCTACTTATTGCCTGTGGAAAAAAAGGTAGACATTAGTAGTTTTTATTATTCAAAAGTGAAGAGCTAGGATTATGAACCCATATTGAAGTTTTCCTTGGTGATAGTAGATGAATGAGCTAAAAGAAGAGTTTTTTTATCAACGGATAGTCCTACGAAAGGTCTAAGTTAAAATGAAAATAGATTCCGAATATCGTTTTCGAATATCTTAAACAAAAATTTATCTGTTAAATCGATCGTTGAGCAACTCAATTCCAACACACTTCGATGAATTCGAACCTTTTCTCTAGATTTATGAAAACTAAAACACTCTTGCTCTATGCAGAGGTAGTTATTGACCTTCATACGTATCTCTTCAAATAATAACTGACTACAAGTATGAAATAAATTTCTGAATATGGCAATCCATTAGTACTTTATTCAAACTTGAATTATCTATTGCTTAGTGTATTTCGAATAGATTTATTTCATTCATCATTGGCAAAGCTGCTGAAATCTTTTGCTTCTGGTTATAGTGTGTTGTGAATGATATTCATTTTTTTTAGATGAACATATAAATATGTTCATACGCTAGGAATTAGATCATACCCTGAGTTCATACTTCATGGAAACACACTTTTAAACGATTTACATACTAATTAATTTAATTGTATCTTATAATTTATATTTAACTATTCTTTCATTTTTTTCCATGTGAACAAGAATGTGCCTGTCCATGATGATTCAATATAGAGTGCAATACGGTATCTGTTGATTAAAAGAAAATGCTTTTTTGTGTACTCAAAAAGTGAGTACACTCTAGAATCGGTCCGTGTGTCCGTCTGTCCGTCCGGCCGTTTACACGATAACTTTTGAAAGAAGAGTCCAATCGCGATGAAATTTTCTACACAGTTTAGTCTTAGCAATGTCTCGGTCGAGTTCGAAGATGAAAATGATTGGCCAAGCCCTTCCTGAGTTATTGCAAAAATAGTCATTTTCCCCTATGCTTCCCTATGAGAAGATAGACCCTTCTCTGTTTTCGTAAAAAACTTTTCCTATCATAGTCAACTAAAACCCCAACTATTATATACCATTCGATAGAGAATTTCACGAGCTACAAAATGGTATATAAAGCATTAAAAATTGAGCTGAAAATTGTGGGCCAAGGAAAGGATTTTTGGAGAAAATAGCGATATTTTATAAAGGTTGGCGAAAGCAAATCGGGGTCGAGGAATCTGAATCTGAAGTCAGATTTTGAAAATTCTGAACAAAAGTTGTTGGGTTAAGGAATCGTTTCTTGACTTTTTGAAGTACACATAACACTCGGATTTAAATCCGAGGTTTCCTCATTTATTTATTTAATGAATTTACCACATTCATATTGTCTTACTAACAAAATTCTCAGTAATTTATAATCGGATACATCGAGTTCAATGTTTTCATATAGATAAGCTAGATTCTTACCGGTTTACATATATCTATAATCAGTATTGTTTATAAAACTAAAAATGCAAATCAAATATATTTACTAATTACTGTAACATCGACTATAGTAAGTTTCTTGAATGATTTAGGACAAATTGAGATTAGTTAATTAAATGAAAAAAAAATTAATGAATCATTCAAGATGTTTAAAATAATTAGTCAAAAGACTTGTTAACAACTCTAAGAATAACTTCTAGTGAATATGAGTCATTAAAATTTACATATTTATTTCGCTATTATTTCTTTTTTTTTATATAAACTCATCATCATCATTCACAAAATTAATTTCGATTGTAGGAAGATCAACAATAATAAACTTTCCGATTTGAAAACTATTAAATATGACTTTCAATTTCATGATATGGTATTCATCATGCAAAACCTTTTTTTTTTGGTATTAAAACAGCTTATTATACTTTTCTAAACTCTCTTAAACTTTTTGAAAAAAAAAATCAATATTGTTAATGTTCTATTATGGTAGTTATATACTTATATTGCAATAAGATTGTTTAAAATTCATAGTAATATAACTTCGTAATATATTCTCTTAGATTCATTGTTACCTTTGTACAATTATAGGCGCTTGTAAAACAAGAGTTTGAAAATTTTTCCTATCGCAAAAAGAAAAAAGTATACGAATTATAATAACACAAAAAAATATGAGATGTTTTATTGAATTTTGATAAAGTTAATTAATATGGTCTAGAATATGTTTTCATATGTATTGTTTTGAGTTTCTTACAGATTTCGAAGTATAAAACTTGATGCTACAAATGGCTTTTTAATATTTAAAACAGTCAGTATGAATATGAGAAAACTAGATCTTCTTAGTCTGAAATATTATACATAAATAAGATATTGTTTTACAAAAATTCACTTCTATTAACACTACAATACACAATTTTTATTGAATAACATTCATCGTATTTTTGTTTTTTATAACTTAAAATCGATTATGTTCTTAAAAATATTTCAGCAAACAAGACTTTCTCAATAGAATTGATAAACTTACAAATGACATTATCATCTACAATTAAACGTAGAGCAATTAATCCAGATGGAAACATTGGTACATTCTATAATATATACAAAGATGAATTACTCGATCAAATAGCTTCGATTGATAAATATGAAGAAATTCAAAGTTATAAACCAGCATATTGTGACTTTATAGATGATCGTATAGAAGAATGTCAAAATCTACTTAAATGGATTAACATTGAAAATGATTTACGAGTAAATATCCTATTGAAATCAAAATTACGAACTGGAGTAGCTGCACTCATTGATTATCAGTATAAAATCGATAAATATACTCGTATTATACATTATTTTTGTGTATATCATGAACGACGAATTCTTGATGATCCAATAGAAGCAAGAGAACATTGTAAACCAATACCAAATGATCTTCTTGCTACTCATTTTATTTCTGCTGTTAGTTTTGGTATTGACATTGTTATAGTTCTACAGATTCCAGATGATGATGATCAAATTGTTGAAAGAATTGATATTGTATTGAAGAAAATTCAAAGTCAATGGAAGAATTCCAACGATATTTTTCGTTCTATTGAAAATGATATAAATTTTCTTGAAAAAATTACTTTAACTAAAATATATTCAAATTTAATTCGACTAACAAAAATGACTTCATTTATTGAAATTTATCAATTTATTAATAGAAATAAACAAAATATTAATGAATATTGTCCTATAGAATATATTCTACAACCTATTGAATGGTTATATCCTGATACTGTTTCATTATATCCATCATATCTTTCATTTGATGAAATTTATATTGATAAATTAGAAAAACATTTAATAGAAATTTTGAACTTTTACAAACAAATACCAGATTTACTTGAATATTATTCTAATCAGATACTTCCTGATTATCTTGAAAAATTACTTGTAGATATAAAAAATGAATGGAATAGTTTGCAAATATTGTATGAAAGTGGAATTCTACGATTAACAACATTGATGATAGAAATTCATAGTGGACAAACAAATGTTAATGAGATTGATTCAGCACTTGAACACTATGATCAAATGACATTTAAAATATATATTCAAATAATTTTGAAAAAATTAATGTTAATCAAAGAAGAAATTCGATATGTTACTAATCAACAACAAGAAAAATTTAAGTATGATCAACTTTTTGAAATTCAAATAAATCAACATATAACAGAACAGATGTCAGATAGCAACAGAAAAACAATCAGATGATGAAATTTTTTCTAATAATCAAGTGGTTGACAATACATAATTAATGCAAAAATGTTGAAAAAAAACAAACATAATTGATCATGAAATATTGAAAATCAGTTTTTTGTTTTTTGTATTAGTTTTTCAAATTTCTTGAGAAAAAGAAAAAGAATGCCTTTGATTTTTTTATTTATATCTAAAATCTATTAAATAAAATTCTTTGTTTTTTTTTTGTTCGAAGTTCATTTCGATATCTAACAATAAGAATTCTAAGGTGAAATTCAAAATGCTACAAAATTTAGCTAAATTGAAAAGAGAAATCGAAATTTAGATATTTATATATGCTGACTCAAATTTCAGATATTAGTTTTAAAAAGAAATATTTTCTTTTTTTTTTCTTTTACACATTAATATTTCTATCTATAAGAAAAAAACACTAATGAACAAAAATAATAAAAAAAGTCAATTGTTCAAGATTAAAAACATAAAGAAGAATTTAAAGTTCTCAATGAAAAATTTATTGAAAAAAAAGTTTATTTTGAATATTTAATCATAGTTCTTATAGATAATTTAATCTTCATTCTTAAATTATTAAGATCTTTCTAAGGATATACTTTTGATTATGTCTTTCAGAATATCTTAAATTATGAATAGGTTGATATGAATACCATTTAGAGAGTTTGAATATACAATAGAAAAAGCTATATGGAAATAAGATCTTTAAATTACTTAGTATATATATATATATAGAGTCTGAAATATTCAATCTAGATGATTACTTCTATTCTCGTTTAATAGTTTGTAAAGAGTCGAACAAATGGCAATATTATGCAAAGATTTGTATATATTGATGAAAAATTATGAGTAATCTAATTAGTCGAATTAGAAGAAATTCGATTTAATAGATTTTTTTTTTTTTTCGAGAGATTAATTCTTTGACTACGGGATTATTTTAATATAGTCAAAAGGACGAGAGACGTTTGATAGGCAAATTGGTCCTAAAAAACTTTTTTGATTCAGCACCTCAATTGTATTATATTAGACGAAAGAGTTTTGTAAATTGAGCATTTTTTGTGAGAAAACTTGATCTTTCAAATGAAATCTTGAAGAGTCCTGAGTAAGTTAACTTGGAAAATTTCAGTCATTTTAGTTGTTTTCACGTTCAGAACTCTTTGTGATTACATTTGAAAGACCAAGTTCCTTTACAAAAAGTGTTTAATTAATCGAACTTTTTCGTTGGGTATAATATAATTAAGGTGTCGAATCAAAAAACTTTTATACGATCGATTTGTCTATCGCCCATCCCTTGTCTTTTTTATTATACCAAACTAATCTCTTGCTAAAAAGAATTAAGGCATAGTCAAGAATCATCAGTAAGTATAGACAATCTTTACGCACAAATATCCTAAACAAAAATCTCAATGCTATTCATATCATTAAATAATTAACAAACCGTGTTTTTTAAAATTATTCTGGTCCCAAAATATTAGTACGCGAATTCGCGTCATCCATACTCAAAGGGTTAAAGACTATTCTTAGTATAATGAGTTGACTTTTAATTGAAATTTATATTGGAAAAATTCTTTTTCTTTTTTAAATCATAAGATAGAATATAATAAACAAGAAATTTTTGTTCACTTATAATCAATGAAATACCATTTTATTTTCGCTAGAATTTAATTTAGAAAAACAAAAAAAAATTTACATAAATTGATGTTTTCTACATTTTATTTCCAATATCTTATAATTGATGATATGAGCGTATTTATTTTATATTAAAATCCAAATAATCGAAATATTTTTTAATATTTTCTTTTTTATTTTATACAAATGATAATATAAAATCAGCTAGAACTTTAGTACGCAATAGAGAATATTCTTTTTTGTATATTAAAAGTTGTATATAATTTTGATAGAATAGTAATTCTGTGTATATCTAAATGATCTCAATTCAATTTCAGTTGGAAAGAAAGAATTTATCACATAAATATAATTATACTATAAAGTAATATATTCGTGTTTAGTCTCAAACATGTATTATTTCAATGAAATAATTGATGGAAGAAGAAGACCAAGAAATCATTCAATTGAATAAGAAAATATTGTATTCTTTTATTAAGTAGTTTAATAACTATATTAAAATAAATTTATTTCTATATAATGTATAATATTGTTAGATTTAATCATACAAAATATTTCAATCAAATAAAACATATTAACCCATTCAATCCGATTCAGTTTTCTTGGAAAATTTCTTCGAGATATTCAGTTTCATGGACAGTTAACTTTTAATAAATACACTTAATGGCCTTTTCGTTATCTACTACCGGTTATTTATTGTTCTCTTCTT